TGCCATTGTCATTCATCGTTGTACGCCGCGACCTTGTCGGCGCCTGGTCGGTAGTAAGCTAGCTGCGCTTTCTTCTCTTCCGGCTTAGCCAGATCACGAACCAGCGGCCTTTGTTCTTGTCCAATTTCTGAATCGTCGTGGTAGATGACCGCAATGGGCGTCGGCGGCCGCTCGTACGTCTCTTTCATTGGACTCGGCACGAAACTGTTCGATTCGTACTGATCGCCAACGACCGCCACAGGACGACAGTTAACAACATTCCGCCTGCTGCCACCGGTGACCTGGTTCTGAGTGGTCGAGGACAGCTGAGTCTGTTCCGACGAGCCTGGTTCAGCGCATGTGTCCTCACGGCGTAGGTCAATACTGGACTCGGCGTCGGTGCCATCAGACACACGATTCGACGTGTTCTTCAGTTTCACCAACTCATAGCCGTTCTTATGTTCTTTCGAATCGCGTTTTGTGTACTTTTTCGGATGGCCGGCACCGCTGCCATTTGTGTTTCTGGCGGCGATTCCTAAAATGTGCGCAATGCTTATACTCACAACTCTGCACTGGGAAACACGCGGAGACGACTACACAGACATCCATGTAGCTGCTCAGAATGGAGCACACTGTAATGAAGTGCTCGATTCTTTGTCGTTCAGCATTATGGTGGACTTGTTATGCATAAAGCATCGTCCCAAGATTTCAGCCAGGGGCTTACCATCACCCTGCAGCGTATGTCACGTCAACCAGCGATGCTTCGAACGATCCTTGAATATACAGTCACATCGTGTAGCTGAACAACTCTAATAATAGCCTGCTGGAACTTGCCGAAAGCGCGTGCAATACATCTGAACGAGTGGGGCTGTAAGTCAACCGCAAGCGAATATGCGTAACTGACGGCTCGTGTTTTAGGGAATGATACGACGACACAATAGTCTATCACTAGTCAATTATTTGTGATCTGCCCTAACTACTGAAGGTCGTGATCACCTAGACGTACACGTTCGTACATATCTGGCGTAAACGAATCCCACTGATGACAACCGAGGTGGAACAGAGTGGAAGCTGTTGAAGAGCGGTTTAGCCTGCGGCCTGGAGGTCAGAAACAAACATGGTGGATACCAGAAGTTCAACTGACTCTCAGACAGAAGGTGGCTACATTCAGGAGGAAGTTTGGAAGCAGAAAGCCTTCGAGTCGAATGCAGTATGAGAAAGCGCGCAAAGCGAAACCAATAATTTGGAAATAGCTGATTCCTGGGAGAAATTCGAAGAGGTGTTGGAGTTGAATTTCCAAACGACAAACGAGGTATTCTGGCAGACCATCCGCTGGCTGCAAGGTGAAAAGAAGGACAGTCTAATAGTTTTGAAGGACAGGTCTGGACACCTTCTTCCTGAGGTTAGGGACATTCTTGGACGATGGAGAGTACTTTTGAGGAACTCTTTAATTCTTAGCAACCGCAGGAATCTCCCCTAAAAAGCAGCGGATATTAGTTTTCGAGTAGAAGAAGTCACAGACGCTGCAACGACTTGAAAAGTGGTAATGCTGCTGGAATCGGTGAAATCCGCCCTGAAATGCATTATGCATTAAGCGAACAAGGCATCTTATGGCTAACAAATGTTTCTGAAACTGCAATGGACTAAAACAGATTGGTAAACGGAGTTCGGACAAGTGTGAAGCACCGTCAGGTTCGTCGGGGCAGCAATTAAGTTGCTGCTCTTGCGAAACGCGAAGAATTCAAAAAAAAACGGCGTTGCAAAAACACTTCTACACTGTTATTCGTCGACCTCGAAGTTCGGAATTAATTGCAGTACAAGCCGAAATTGAGATAAAGCGATAGACGACTAACAAACAAAGATTAATTGCAAAAAGTAAGAGGCAAAAACATGTTGCTGGCCGACAGCAGGGGCCAATGCATCATTCACATGGAGTTGGTCAACGACGACAGTGACACGGAAGCCGACCATGCGCCGCGATAGTTGAGGTATCATGTGAGCAACCTTCGCCCTGCAAAGACTTTCACACATTTCGAACAGCTGGCATGCTATTGATGTCTTGTTCAACGGAGGGAACCACTGATCGGTTGAGCAGTGGTTAAATGGTCGACTCATCCTTGGTATCTTCTTCTTCCGAATAAGGTTTATGTTCGTCAGTCCCTCGCTTGTTGTGAATGGTTTCTAACGAAGCATACTACGGACTACATCGACAGTATCGCGTCGAATTCTTGCACTTCGTAACAAGACGAAAAACGCTGCCTTTCAAATAAATTACGATTAAAGTGCGCCTCTTCAGTTTGCGAAACATTGATTTTTACAGAGCCGGTGGTTTCCAGCATCTTAAGTTGTTTTCAGCCACCCAGTTCTGCACCACCACTAACCTGTAACCTGCAACAATGCTGTTTCTGACAGTGACTGGTAAATTCTGCGATTTTATTGACGATTTCGAGGAATCAGTGGAGAGTCATATTTTCGCTTGCCTTTCAACATTCTCGTACAAGTGCCTTTCTGAAGTATGGTGGAAAAATGAGGTTAATGAGTTGAAACAATAGTGAAATGAATTAAAAGCTTTACTTCGGAACCCAACGCTTTACGTCAACCAGCGATACTTCACCAGAGAATCATAACTGAATACATCACTAGTATTAAGTATGTATCGAAGAGTTACAATGAACATAAATGATGCTTGGAACTAAGTTATCGAGGAACCATAACTAGTCAAGCCGACTGCACATACGATTAATAAATTCGTCTTTAACGCTGATGACGTGAAAAGTGGCAAAAGATGAACTGAGGGGATTGTTTGTCAAGGCAACCTATGGAAAGTGCTTATATAGCCGCCGCGCCAAAAGTAAAGATCTGCCAACAACCCGAAAACGATGTAAACGAGACAATGATAACTGGAAGCTGACGTACATAGTATCTGATCATGTGAGTATAAGATGGCGCTCATGAATGAACTTCTACTTACAAAAAATGACAAGAGTCATCCTCTTCTTAAATGGATGACGACCCGAGTGTATAAAATTTGGCGGTGCGGTATTCAATACTTCCAGATCTTAATTTCCAAATGATTGGAGGATGAAAATTTTTCTTGAATTGCTTATATTATTCATCATGAATAATCTCTGCCTTAGCCGTTAATCGTCACCCTCTCTTGTTTAAAGAACAAGTGAAATGAAAGCAAAATTATGACGGTTTTTGTACGGAATAATACTAATGGATTTCTTTAATTATTCCAATTGACCGTCTAGAAGATAGAAACTGATTAATCGTATGCCTATAACACAGCATTTATCGACTGATTAACTTTTATGCCAAAGTAGTCGATTATAAACTTTGCAAATCCAGCAAAGAAAACGATTTACTTAGCCTGTAATATACTGCATTGACAAAACCCACCTGCATGTCAATTTAAAACGCGAATTTTCAAAGATATTGACTTCTGTTAAACCTAACTTTACATATAACTTCAGAAGCTCGATATTACTGCTACCCTTTCAGTTACCATTTCAATGTTAACATTTTGAACGACAATTTTCGGTAGCCGAAACTCGCTCACGTTAAGGTTTATTCAGGGGTAGGAAATTCGTTCTTCTTATTCTGCCGTTGGAGTGAGAGCATATAGATCTATCTTTTAGCAATCAGTAGTTAAGCATGGATCACTACAGGAAAATCCGGAGAAGAACAGAAGACAAAGGATCATATAATTTGACCTGCATAAAATTAAAATTCATTCAATGACGGAAGACTGAACTATTCTAATTCGCCGATTCAGCACAGGTATCATGGCGTTATTTATTACAATAATGAAAGTCCTGACCGCTATGCGATACTACCTCACATTTGATCATTTTAACAGTCCATTGGCTGTTAGCGGTCTGGTTTGAAATTTTGATTTTCCGCTCCATTGCTTGTCACCACTGGCATTGTCAGTGTATTGAATAATTATGATTATGATGTCCGTATTGACAGCCGTAAAAGAACTGAAATTAGCGCAAATATATAAACTGGTTAAGACAGCAACTTACGAATCAAACAACGTCACCCGCTGAAATC